TGGCAATCTGATTGGCACACAGCAGCAGCTACTATGCAAAGGTAGCCGTAAGGTCAGGGCTGGCAGTTCCATCAACCTTTGCTAAGTTTAAAGAAATAGTCTTCAAGCCAAGGCAGGCTGTTTGGCTCGATTGGCTGAACTCATGACTTGAGCAACTTTTCCCCTACCCCCAGGACCTCTTGGATCTGTTTCAGATGGGTAAGACAAGAGCGTTTTTATTTGCATGCGCCATTTCCAAAAGTTACGTAAAGTAGTGTATCATACATCATTGAGAGTCAGCACGCCTAGTTGTGAATCTCTGATACACCACTCGCCAGCTCCATGATTCTCCGACCCTCAGTCTCCTTATTATAAATTGGGACAATAACACTACGTAAGTCACTTAAGTGCTATTCTGAGGTTTGAGGTGAGTGCTAGGCATAGAACCCGTCTAGTATTTGTTAGCTAGATTTTTCCCCAGTTCAGTCACTTCCCAGCTGTCCTTGCTCATTCAAGGGAGCAGGTGCATGGATGACGGGTCGCTTTCCCTCAGGATCTTGCGCATCCGACATTTTTCATCAATTTCAGAAGTGCATTCTGTGCTTTAAATATGCACTCTCTGGTTTCACGTGGGCAAGTGGCTAAGAAAACTGCCCAGATTAGTGTTGAGTAATCAAATAGAGGAAAACCAACCTTAAGTGACAAATGTCCATAGTGTGAGAACATGGACGGAGAAAGTTGAAAAGTATAGAAACAGCCTGTATGTACATCCTGTCAACGAAAGGAATAAATACTTGTTAAGGTGGAGTAGTGAGATTTAAAAGGCATTCCTTAAAAGATAATGAAATCCTGTCTTTTGCAAAAAAAAAAAAAAGGGATGCAACTGGAAATCATTATTCTTAGTGAAATAAGTTGGTCCCAAAAAGATAAATATCAAAATACTATATAAGTATATTTTACAATTTGGTCTATACTTAGTAACAAATTTGCATTTTTGATGTGATGTAATAAAAGCTTTTTAAAGTAAAAAAAAGACAAATGTTTTCACTGCTCTGTGGTAACTAACAGACTACAAAAAATGTAATGTATAGGAACAAAATTGACATTTTGAGATCTGATTATTGTTTATAGTCCTTGTATCCACTGTTGAAGAACGGTGATTTTTTCTTCTTACTATTTGTTGAATTGATGTTTAGTAAAAGGTTAAGCTTACAACTATGAAATAAACTGAATGTACATCATTGTAAAAATTAAAATAATAAGAAAAGAAGGAGGAAAGAAGGTAGCTGCATGGGTGGGAGGGCAGGTAGTGTAGGAAGTAACACTATGCTTCTAAATATGTGTATATGAAACACATGAAATTTGTTCACCTTATATAAATATAAAAATTATATTAAAAATAAATTTTAAAAATTTAAAAAATAAAAGGCATTCCCAACCACTTATGACAAGTCTGTTGCTCAATTCTCATTTCAGTCTCCAAATGATAGGGGCAGGTAGGGTGGAAAGAAACTGACAGGTTCACACCATCATCTCATGGAGGTGATATGAGGAAGTCTGCAATGTTATCATATCTGGCTAAATAGGAAGGAGACCAAGCTACTGCCCCTGAGAAATGTCACATAGGTCTTGGGAATTCTAGATTCAAACCCATAGGTGATCAGACAGCCTGGCACTACCAGGGCAAACAGTGTCCCAGAGGTGAGGCTGAAAGCCAGAGGAAGAAATGGGAAAAGATCCAGAGATCTTTTCATGCCCAAGAGAGGGATGAAAAATATCTACCTCAGGCTGGGAGTAGCTATTAAAATTTTCAATATTCATAAAATTATTTAGCATTTCACAGCACTGAAGTTATTTTGGAATCTACTATAGGATCTCTGAATCTACCATAGAAATTTTCTCATGAGTACAAAATATGTATGTAATAAAAAGTCTGTGGGAGAAAAAAATGAACTATGGATAATACTATGCCCTTTATTTAGCATGTATATACATCCATGCAGAAAAGAAAATCTTTTAAGTATGCATGGAATTCTAGTTCTCCAGCAATGCAATTATAGGGAATTTAGTGTTTTATATTATAAAATACAAATGAATGTGTTCATTATTTGAAAATGCAAACAATGTAATATAATGTTAAATATTGAAGTTACTCTCTCTCTCCAATCTAACTTCAGAAGGCAACCACATAAAAGGGGATCATCAAAATATTCATGGAAAATACAAATTATGAATAAAATCTCATAACTTTAAAATCTTTTTGCACCAAAATAATCTTTTAATTCCATCTCCATGAACTTTTTGAGATACATGTGTACACATCAACATCAACACAAATACATACAACATAAAGTTGATATTTTCCTCATTAAAAGAGAATTATTCTATATTCATCACTCTGTAACTTGATTTTGTCATTTAAAATGTCCCAGTCAGTATTGTAATAATGACAACCCAGCTTAGCACGAAGAGGGAGACCTTAGCCCTCAGACCACCTACATTCAAATTCCAGGTTTACCACTTATGTGGGATCTGCTCATTAACTTTGCTAAACTCTAATTTTTTGTCTGTAAAACTGGAATGATAACAGTGCCCATCTCTTGGGATTTGGGGAAAATATAAAAGATGTGTAAAGCACTAAGCTCGATGTGCACACATATTAAGGGCTTAAAAGATGTTGGCAAGTAGTAGAATTATCTCATTTCCTTAGATACTGCATGACATTGAATAAGAAGAATGTACCACGAAATGTTGAACAATTCACCAATTTATGAATATCCAGGTTGTCTCCTCTGTGATCATTTTGTCTGGCTTAATATTACAGGCAACACTACAAGTCAAATATGCCCGTATCTTTGCATTACACAAGTAAATCTATTTCTAAAGGCTAGATTTCCATGGTGGTAGCATCAGATAAAGGGCTGCAAATATTCAATTCCACTGCATCCTACAAAAAGTTCATGCTGATTTTCCCTCTTAACTGCCAATACATGATCATCTATTTTCTTTTGGATACTGTAACAAAAATGCATTGCCAATCTGATGAATGAAAACGTATTTCAGACCCCATGTATTTTTTTGATTATAAGTAGGATTGACCATCTTGATATACACCTTCTTTGGCAACTGTGTTAGAGATTGTTTTTCTTGGGAAAATAATATATATTCTAGCTACTCTTATGACCTCTTTTTGTATATTATTCAAATTTTTGAGCACAATATTTTTCACTATGATGTCTACATTTCATATCTCAGTTGGCGTGACTGTCACTATAATATAAAAATTTATTTCTGGCTAAGACTAATTTTATACTCCACATTTTTACTTTTGAATGGTTTATTCATGTGGGATTTCTTTCTATGTGTGAATAAGATAGAAATCTTGTTTTTTAATCTTCCGCCTGCAGCACCAGCATCCCATATGGGCGTCGGATTCTAGTCCGGGTTGCTCCTCTTTCAGTCTAGCTCTCTGCTGTGGCCTGGGAGGGCAGTGGAGGATGGCCCAAGTGCTTGGGTCCCTGCACCCACATGAGAGACCAGGAAGAGGCACCTGGCTCCTAGTTTTGGATCAGTGCAGCGCCAGCTGTAGTGGCCATTTGGGGAGTGAACCAATGGAAGAAAGACGTTTCTCTCTCTCTCTCACACTGTCTATAACTCTACTGGCTACTTTGGTGAAATTATCCTAAGTTTCACATTTTTCAGATAAATGGCATAGATTTTCTAAGAAAACAATCATACAACCTATAAATAGTGATCATTTCATCTTCTCTTTTTTAAAATATTTATTTATTTTTTGAAAGTCAGAGTTACACACAGAGAGGAAGAGAGAAGGAGACACAGATCTTCCATCTGCTGGTTCACTCCCCAAATGGCCCCAGTGGCCAGGGTCTGGCCAGGTAGAAGCCAGGAGTCAGGAGATTCTTCCAAATCTCCCATGTGGGTGCAGGGGCCCAAGCACTTGAGCCATCTTCTGCGTCTTTTCCAGGTACATTTGCAGGGACCTGGATCAGAAGTGGAAGCAGCCAGATATCAAACTAGCACCATATGAGATACCATTGTCACAGGTGGTGGCTTTACTGGCTCTGCCACAATGGCGACCCCAATGTACTTTATTTCTTTAGTTTTTCCTTTTCAGTGGCTTAGTCTACCATCTAAGCAAAACAGTTTAATAGTCATAAAAGAAGCTACTCAACTATGCCTTTCAATGATATTGGTGGAAATGGGACTCTGACATCCTAAGTTTTATATTCCTGTACCATTTGAATTTGTGAAATAAGAATTTCTATGTTCTGTACTCAGGAAGAAAATTAATATATTTAAACAACTACTCACACTAACATGGGCTATTGGTAGGACTTCATTTTGAGTGGCATCTCTGAGACAAAAATATTTTAGACAAATGTATTAGACAATATATATTGGACAAATAATATCAGCCAAACAAAAATCTTCAAGCATTGTGAAGATATTTCTCTTAAGGCTTCAGGAAGTCTATGGGAATGCAGTGGGTACCATGGAGCACTAATCAGCTTAGACTCTCATTACTACTCCACTATCACTACCACCTCCCAAACTGTAAGACAGTGAATCACAGACCTCATTCATGGGAAACCATTACATTAAAGCATCTTAATCCAAAGGTAGGTATCAGCATTGTCTTCCTCGGAGACATAAATAAAAAGCTAGCAAGCTTGTCAAGAATTAATTCAGGGGGAATATTTGAAATGGCAAAGGAGAATAATTCAGACCAACCGGGTGACATAGAAGTTCGTAAGGACATATGGAAACCCTTTAGTTCCTAATTTAGAGGTCATCCTGGGCATTTTTAAACTATCTTATTGCATTTCATGCATTAATTATTTCTCTGCATTTGCTTAAAGGAAATAGTCTTTAAATTCTAACAAATAACCAAAGGTTGCTTGTTTTTGTTTTGTTTTGTTTTGTAGGCTTGATGTCAGGAAGGAGATGACTTGATCTAACTGCCCTGCACGTCACACCCACAGCCTCTCCAGACCCTGCCCAGGAAACCCAGAGACATGGAGACAAAGAACCACAGCACCAGCACTTCCGGCTTCATCCTCCTGGGCCTCTCTTCCAACCCGCACCTGCAGAGACCCCTCTTTGCCGTCTTCCTCGCCATGTACCTGGTCACCGTGGTGGGGAACGTGCTCATCATCCTGGCCATCCACTCCGACTCCAGGCTCCACACCCCCATGTACTTTTTCCTCAGCAACTTGTCCTTCATGGACATCTGCTTCACAACAGTCATTGTGCCCAAGATGCTCGTGAACTTACTGTCTGAGACAAAGGCCATCTCCTACGTAGGCTGCCTGGTCCAGATGTACTTCTTCATGGCCTTTGGAAACACGGACAGCTACCTGCTGGCCTCCATGGCCGTCGACCGCCTGGTGGCCATCTGCTACCCCTTGCACTACGACGTGGCTATGAACCCACGACGGCGCCTCTTCCTGCTGCTGGGGTCTTGCACCATCTCCCACCTGCACGCGCTCTTCCGCGTGCTGCTCATGTCCCGCCTGTCTTTCTGTGCCTCCCATGTCATCAAGCACTTTTTCTGTGACACCCAGCCTGTGCTGAAGCTGTCCTGCTCCGACACATCCTCCAGCCAGATCGTGGTCATGACCGAGACCCTGGCTGTCATTGTGACCCCCTTCCTGTGCATCCTCTTCTCCTACCTGCAAATCATCATCGCTGTGCTCAGAATCCCCTCTGCAGCGGGGAAGTGGAAGGCCTTCTCCACCTGTGGCTCCCACCTCACCGTAGTGGCCCTGTTCTATGGCAGCGTCATCTACGTCTACTTCAGGCCCCTGTCCATGTACTCAGTGGTGAAGGACCGGGTGGCCACGGTTATGTACACAGTAGTGACGCCCATGCTCAACCCTTTCATCTACAGCCTGAGGAACAAAGACATGAAGAGAGGCTTGAGGAAATTAAGGGAGAGACTTCATTTACAGTAGGAACAGAATGATGAAATACCATCAATTGAGAGAGTATTTAAGATATTACCAGGTTCTCTCTCCTCCCTACCCATTTCTATCTGGTATGCAAAGCAGTTACGAGAGGTGGTGTTAGCACCAGCAAAAGCATTGTCCTGGAATTGTCTTCAGTAGCAGACTAAGTATTGCTGGGAATCCAAAATTACAAGAAAATCACTTTGCCATCACCAGTACACAGCCATTCACACAGTGGTATAAAGCTATCTCTAAATAACTCTTCTGGAAACATTACGTTTGGGGCTGGCACTATGGCGCAGTAGGTTAAGCATCCATCTGTGCCACCGACATCCCACATAAGGAGCCAGTTCATGTCCTGGCTGCTACACTTCCAAACCAGCTCCCTGCTGATGGCTTGAGAAAGCAGAAGACAGAAGGCCCAAGTGCTTGTGTCCCTGCACCCACATGGGAGATGCAGAAGAAGCTCCTGGTTCCTGGTTCAGATCAACTCCGCTCTGATGTAAAGGCCGTTCGAGGAGTGAACCAGCAGATGGAAGCCCTTTCTCTGTCCCTCTGTCTAACTCAACCTCTCAAATAAATCTTTTTGAAAAAAACTTACAGTAACCAATAATTAAGATACTGTCAGTCCTGTTAGTTTTCAAGACAAGAGAGTACACAGTTGTGAATTGGAAGAAACAATAAAATATCTTGTGGTTATTATTAAAATGAAACCAAGGAGAATAAGGCTGGAACAATAAAAGAAGCTACAAAGCAGTTTATTTCCTTGCCTATCATTAAAGTGTCACAACAATGTGAATTCTAAGTGCCCAGCTTAGTTCCTTTCCATCTTAATTTTTTCTTACTCCACATGTCCTGCATCCTCAATAAGCTGCCTTTATGTCCTGGAAAAATCAATATGTACCCAACAGGGAAATCTTAGCTTTGCTAAGAAAACAATTTCAAAATCATAGGACCTTATAAACAAATGTTTATTTTTTATTCACATTGCATATCCACTCATTTTAAATACTCCATGGCTTAAGATTATGGGGAAGCATTGAAAACATTAATTGTCACCATGTCTGAAGCTAACAAAGAGTCTTGAAGATTTGCACCACAACTCCACCAATAAAATACATGGGGCCAGAAGTGACAAATACTTCTAACCATAGCTCACGTGTACAGCTAATCTTGTCACCCACCCAACCCAGGGATCCAGATAGCACAATCTAATCACATTCCCCTGAGATACAGAGCCAAGGTATTAGGATGGAAACACATGGAGACTGAACAACATGCTCCTGAATGAGCAGTGGGCCATAGGGGAAGTAAAAAAATTTCTAGAAATGAATGAAAATGACACTACAAAATATGAAAACTTACGGAATATAGCAAAGGCAGTATTAAGAGGAAAGTTTATAGCAACTGGTGCACACATCAAGAAACTGGGAAGAAAAAAAGGATTAGGGGGGCGGCACCATGGCTCACTTGGTTAATCCTCCACCTGCGGTGCTGGCATCCCATATGGTTACCAGTTCTAGTCCAGGCTGCTTCTCTTGCAGTCCAGCTCTCTGCTGTGGCCTGGGAGGGCAGTGGAGGATGGCCCAAGTGCTTGTGTCCCTGCACCGGCATGGGAGACCAGGAGGACGCACCTGGCTCCTGGCTTCAGATCGGCACAGCTCCAGCCATAGTGGCCATTTGGGGAGTGAACCAACGGAAGGAAGACCTTTCTCTCTGTCTCTGTCTCTCTCTCTCTAACTCTACCTGCCAAATAAATTTAAAAAATAAATTGGGAAGGCACCAAATAAGTGAGTTATCAATGCATTTCAAGGACCTAGAAAAACAAAAACAAACCAAACACCAAACCCCAAATAAGGAGAAAAGAATTAAAATTAGAGAAGAAATAAACAAAATGAAACCCCCCAAAAAATAAAAAAAGATCAGTGAAACGAAGAGCTGGTTTCTTGAAAAAAGTAAACAAAATTAATACACCATTGGCCCAACTGAAAAAAAAAACAGGGGAGAAGGCCCAAATCAATAAAATCAGAGATGAAAAAGGAAATATAACACTGGATACCACAGAAATAAAACGGATTATCAGGAATTACTATAAGAGGTAAATGCCAACAAACTGGAAAAATCTAGAAGAAATGGATAGATTGCTAGACACACACAATCTACCAAAATTGAGTCACGAAGACATAGAAAACCTAAATAACCAAGACAGATTTGAATCAGTAATAAAAACCCTCCCAAAAAAGATCAGGATTGGATGATTTCATTGCTGAATTCTACCAAACATTTAGAGAACTAACTCCAATTCTTTTCAAGCTATTCAAAACAATTCTGGGGAAGGGAAGGCTCCCAAATTTCTTCTACAATGCCAGCATCACTTTAATTCCTAAGCCAGAAAAAGATACAACAGAGAAAAAGAACTACAGACCAATATTCCTGATGAGCATAGATGCAAAAATCTTCAAAAAATGCTAGCTAATCGAATCCAACAACACATCAGAAAGATCAGTCAGCTGGGTCTGGCATTGTAGCACAGTAGGCTAAGCCTGTGTCTGCAGTGCCAGCATTCCATATGGGTGCCAGTTCGACTCCCAGCTGCTCCACTCCCAATCCAGCTCTCTGCTATGGCTTGGGAAAACAGTGGAAGATGGTCCAAGTGCTTGGGCCCTTGCACCCACATGGGAAACCTAGAAGAAGCTCCTGGCTCCTGTCTTCAGATCAGCCAGTTCTGGGTATTGCGGCCATTTGGGGATTGGACCAGTGGAAGGAAGACCTTTCTCTCTGTCTCTCCCTCTCTCTGTCTGTAATTCTACCTCTCAAATAAATAAATAAAATCTTAAAATCATTCAGGTCCGGCGCCATGGCTCACTTGGTTGATCCTCAGCCTGCAGCACCAGCATCCCATATGGACGCCAGTTCTAGTCCCAGTTGCTCCTCTTCCAGTCCAGCTCTCTGCTGTGGCCTGGGAGGGCAGTAGAGGATGGCCCAAGTGCTTGGGCACCTGCACTCTCATGGGAGACCAAGAGGAGGCACCTGGCTTCTGGATTCAGATTGGCGTCGCTCTGGCCATAGCGGCTATTTGGGTGGTAAACCAATGGAAGGAAGACCATTCTCTCTCTGTCTCTCTCTCTCACCAACTCTATCTGTCAAATAAAAAAAAAATATTCACCTGCTCCAAATGGGATTTATCCCTGATAGGCAGGGAGGGTTCAACATTTGCAAATCAATCAATGTGATACATCACATTAACAAACTAAAGAACAAAAACCATATGATTATCTCAACAGATGCAGAGAAAGCATTTGATAAAATACAACATCCCTTCATGATGAGAACCTTAAGAACATTGGGTATAGAAGTAACATTCTTCAACACAATCAAAGCAATCTATGACAAACCCATAGCCAACAACTTATTGAATGGGGAAAAGCTGGAGGCACTCCCTCTAAGATATGGAACCAGACAAGAATGCGCACTCTCATCACTGCTATTCAATATAGTCCTGGAAGTTTTAGCCAGAGCCATTAGGCAAAAAAAAAAAAAAGAAAAGGAAAAAAAGAAATCAAAGGAATACAAATTGGGAAGGAGGAAGTCATACTATCCCTATTTGCAGATTATATGATTCTGTATATAGTGAACCAAAAGATTTCAGTAAGAGACTATTGGAACTCATGAAAGAGTTTGATAAAGAGGCAGGATAAAAAATTAGCATAAAATATAGCCTTTGAATACAAGACAATGCCATAGCTGAGAAAGAACTTCTAAGATCAATCCCATTCACAATAGCTACAGAAAAAATTAAACACTTTAGAATACATTTAACCAATGATATCAAAGATATCTATGATGAAAATTACAAAAAAATTAAATAAAGAAATAGAAGAAGACACGAAAAATGGAAAAAATCTTCCACATTCATTGATTGGAATAATTAATATCATCAAAATATCCATACTACCAAAAGCAATTTATAGATTCAATGCAATCCTAATCAAAATATCAATGACATTCTTCTCTGATCTTGAAAAATGATGTTGAAATTCTTATGGAAACACAAGAATAGTTAAAGCAATCTTATACAACAAAAAAAATCTAGAGGCATCACAATACCAGATTTCAAGACATACTACAGGGCAAAACAGCTTTGTTCTGGCACAAAAACAGATGTGCAGATCAACGGAACAGAATAGAATTTCCAAAAATCAATTCAAGCATCTACAACCAACTTATCTTTGACAAAGGAGCTAAAATAAATCCTTGGAGAAAGTATGGTCTCTTTAATAAACAGTGTGGGAAAACTGGATCTCTGTGTACAAAAGTATGAAACAAGACCTATACCATATACCTTATACAAAAATCAAGTCAAAATGGATGAAGTATCTAAATCTGCAACCTAATACCATCAAGTTACTAGAGAACACTTGGGAAACTCTGCAAGACTTTTGCATGGGCAAAGACTTTTTGGAAAAGACCTCAGAAGCATAGGCAGGCAATCAAAGCCAAAATTCACAAAGGGGATTATATCAAGCTAAAAGGCTTCTGCATTGCAAAAGAAACACTCAGGAAAGTGAAGAGGCAACTAATAGAATGGAAGAAATATTTGCAAACTCTGAAACTGATAAAAGACTAATATCAAGAATCTATAAAGAGCTCAAGAAACTCAACAACAACAAAAGAAAACAATCCAGTTAAGAAATGGGCAAAGGACTTGAACAGACGTTTTTCAAAAGAGTAAATTCAAATGGCCAACACTTGAAAAAATGCTCAGGATCATTAGCCATCAGGGAAATGCAAATCAAAATCACAATGAAGTTTGATCTCACTCCCCAGTTAGAATGGTTCTCATAAGAAATCAAACAATAAATGTTGGAGGTGGCTCCAAGATGGCAGAATAGGGAGGGAGCTCACTGATAGTCTAGGAAAAGATGGCTTAATAAAAGTGGAGATACTGAAGTCTCAGGGAAGAGTTAGGGAAAAAACTGCAGAGGGAACTCTTCCAGAATTAGAGGGACACGGTGGATCTACATGGAGGACATGGGCACCCACGGCTCGGGAGCCCAGCTGCCGAAAACCTTCTCCTCTGCACGAGCGCTGGAAACAGAGGTGAGGTGAAACTGCAGTAGCCCGAGACATTGGAAGTAAAGTGGCAGGAAGAGCCTGGAGGGAACAAGGCTTGAAGCCCCATGGAGGAAAGTATACCAGCCTAACTAGAGGAGAGAAAAAAACAAAAGGGACGGTACGGACATGATTCTCTCTCTCCACACACCTTACAAAGGCGTGCAAGACAA